CTGTTCCAAGTGGGACCCAGGCCCTCTGCACAGACAGGCTGCCTGCTGAGCAGAAGCACCCCCAAAGAACTGGGGTGTCACCTGCAGACACAGACTCCAGTCCAGGTGGGGCTGTCCAGCCATCCTCACTGCCCACTTGCAGCTCCAGCCACTCCATCTGTTCCCGAAGACATGTCCCTCTCCACCCCTCCGCCTCTTCCCCAGAGGCGCTGGGCTCCCCCTGCCGCTCGTGACCACGTCTGCTCTTCCCAAGCCCTGAAAACATGACTTTCATTTCATGCTGGTGCTTCCAAGGGAATTCAGTTGGGTTCACGCCTATGGTATTATGAACAGTTTCGGGATCACATCCTAAAATCCAGGCGCACAAAGTTGAAAAAAGAGCACCAGCAGTTGTGGCCACTTCTAGGTAGACCGTCACACTAGGTGACACTTTGGCCTCCAGGGCTCCTCCCGGTGAAAATCGTTCCAGAGATTTCACTGCTAAGTTGGGCAATAATAACTCAACTTTCGCTCCTCTGAAAGCCTCCTACTTTCAAATATTAGCTTCTTTATTTAGGGAGTTGGCAACAGGCTTGGTAACAACACTCCGCGGCCAGGATGGAAAAAGCCTAACTGTTCCTGTATTTCATTTAAAATTGATTTTTGACGCCCAGGGCAGCTGTATTTAAATCTTGCTACACTAGCAGCAAATTAGGGCATGCCTGTATAGTGAAAGGTTTTTATTTTTTCTGCTTAAGACAAATTATTTAGCTGACAAAATACTCCTATGTCGTAGAAAAATCCTAGAATCCCTTTTAGAATTGTTTTGTCAGTGTTCACCAATGATTCCAATGCCATCAACCGGCTACTTTCATTTTTAGGGGGTGAAGCGGTTCTCATGCTTTGAAACAGTAGACGCGCTTCCCGCTACAAACAGATTTGTGTTTAAAGTTTGCAGATGGTCATTAAGTGAAAGGGCTACCTCAGAAAAGGTTAAACATAGCTTTTCTGATCGAGTTAGTGACTGAAGCTGATGGACTTAAAGCAATTCATTGTCTAGTGCACTGTTTTCTGTTGTTACCTTCCTGATGTTGGTAGTTCAGGCACTGGGATGTAATTATAATAATTATCAGGATGAATCTTTTAATCAGCAACCTCTGGACTCATCTACAAACTGTCACCTTTCATTAACAGGAAATGACATCACTTTCCAGCTCAACCACTTGGCTGCTATGCAGGGCAGTATTCTACCACGACAGCTATTTGCAGCCATCCTATCTCGTCTCCTGTGACTGGCTCCTGGCCACTGGGGCTCAATAAAGAGCTTTTCTTTCTTTTATTGCATTTTTTGTCTCAACAATCATGGTGAGCATCCTGTACAACACTTAATCTGCAACTGCTCAGAAAAACAAGCACACATGTCTTTTGACATCCTGAATTGCACATACTATAAAAGACAATGATTTATGGAAACAAGGCTTATAGTCATAGCCATGCCTTGGAAATGATGCAAAAGCTACTTAAGTCACACCCGGAACGAGGCTGCCTCTTAAGATCTGTTTTATCTGATACACCCCATTAAAATTAAAGTGCAAATAAAGATGGGGAAATGTAGAAACAGTTGGTTTGATAAGCCAAAGGTCCTAAGGCTTTTCATTGAACGTGTTTAAGTTCAATGCTATTAAGTCCTTAACTGCCCGCTAAAAGGACTGATCGCTGTAAAGGATACATTTCCAGGGAGTATTAAGTGAGATTATCAAAGGTCAGCCAAAAGCATAACATTTATACAGTAAGTTCCCTACTGACGAACGAGTTCTATTCTGAGAGCATGTTCATAAGTCCAACAAAGTTAGCTTAGATACCCGACTAACACAATCAGCTATGTAGTACTGTGCTATAATAGGTTTCTAATACTTACCACACAAATAATACATTAAAAAAAACCCACTTTAAATCTTACAGGACAGTACCTTGAAAAGTGCAGTAGTACCAGCTACATCACCGCTGCTTTTACCCTTCCTTCCAGACATCCTGGGTTTCCCTGGTGGCTTGGACAGTGAAGAACCTGCCTGCAATGCAGGAGACCTGGGTTCAACCCCTGGGCTGGGAAGATCCCCTGGACGAGGAAATGAACCCACTCCAGTATTCTTGCCTGGAGAATTCCATGGACAGAGGAGGCTGGCGGGCTACCATCCATGGGGTCTCAAAGAGTCAAACATGCCTGAGAGACTAACACCCACCGGACATCCTAGACTTGAAATAAAGATACTAAACTACTGTACTCTGTACAGAATTGTACATCAATGTACACAAAACCCAATCACTTGTAGAGGGTACTTGGGGTACATCACAAAGTACCCCAGACACGTGAGCTAACTTACAGGATTGGACATGTGAATACAGGTTCACATCTTTGAAAGATCCCAGGTTTGTGTGTAGGGGACTTACTGTCCTGGAAATAATGCCTGGAAAATAAGAAAGTCCTGCCATTTTCATGAGGCTGTTGAACTTTCTAATGTAAGCCGCTTGAGTTCCATCAGGGCTAACCCCCTAGTGGTACAAACTCTTTCAGTCGTTGCTGTTTGTTGTTTAGTTGCTCAGTTGTGTCTCTTTGAGACCCCACAGACTGTAGCCTACCAGGCTACTCTGTCCGTGGGATTCTCCAGGCAAGAATACTGGAGTGGGCTGCCATTTTCTTCTCCAGGGGATCTTCCTGACCCAGGGATCGAACCCAAGTCTACTGTGTCTCCTGCACTGGCATGTAGGCTCTTTACCACTGAGCCACCAGCGACTGACCTCAAACAACAGAGACATCAGACAAGGCTCAGTTCAGTTCAGTTCAGTCACTCAATCGTGTCCGACTCTTTGTGACCCCATGAATCGCAGCACGCCAGGCCTCCTTGTCCATCACCAAGTCCCGGAGTTTACCCAAACTCATGCTCATCGAGTCGGTGGTGCCATCTTATCCTCTGTCATCCCCTTCTCCTCCTGCCCCCAATCCCTCCCACTATCAGGGTCTTCTCCAATGAGTCAACTCTTCGCATGAGGTGGCCAAAGTACTGGAGTTTCAACTTAGCATCAGTTCTTCCAATGAACACCCAGGACTGATCTCCTTTAGGATGGACTGGTTGGATCTCCTTGCAGTCCAAGGGATCCTCAAGAGTCTTCTCCAACACCACAGTTCAAAAGCATCAATTTTTCGGTGCTCAGCTTTCTTCACAGCCTCAGGTGTGTTTAAAAAGAATCTTTTATATAATAAAGCTGTTGTCAAACAGTGCTGCAGTTTGAACACCCTTGCCTCCAAACAGAGACATTAAATTGTGCAAGAGGCATGCATTCCAGAATAATTTCCTGCTGGATCTCACAACTATTTAAAGCAGAAGTGTGTTGAAGGCGGTCTCTCTCCAGGCATCCTGACCCCAAGCCCATGAGGTATCTTCTCTTCCAGGTCTGGGAAAGGCCCCCGTCTCACTGAACAACGGGCCAGAAACCCTCCTGTTAATATTAAAAGACACACAGCTTTTTATTCATCTTTCTGTGTGGTAGGAGAGTGATCAAACGAATCACCAAGATTTTTTCGTAACTTGTGTTTGTTAACCATCTCTGAGGACTGGAGTCCAGCTCCATGTCTGAAAAGGAAGAAACTATCGCCCTCTTGTGGGCACTTGTGTCATTGCTCCTGCCACAGAAGTCAGGCTTTGGGGATTTTTCCTTTGAGAAATTTCAAAGCTGGTGGGAATCTGGGCACGTAACAAAATCTAAGTCAGGCATCTGAACGGAATTCTACCGAATAGCTCATCCAGGTGGTATATGTTCAAAACTCTGCAAATAACCTATGAAAAAGACTGTTTCCAGGAGGTTTTTGATGGTGTCTACATACCAACTGGACTTAACACTTTTCAGACATGTTTCTTTTCTTTTTAAACTCTTTTATTTTATATTGGAGTATAGCAGATTAACAGTGCTGTGATGTTTTAGGTGGATAGCAAAGGGACTCAGCCATATGTATATGTGTATCTATTCTCCCCAAACTCCCTTCCTATCCAGGCTTCCACATAACTCTGAGCAGAGTTCCCTGTGCTATACAGTAGGCCCTTGTTGGTTATCCATTTTAAACGTATCAGTGTGTACATGTCCATCTCAAACTCCCAACTATCCCTTCCTCCCATCCTTACCCCTGGCAACCATTATCAAACACGTTTCTTATCTGTTCTTTTTAAATTAAAAAAAAAATTTTAGTAAAATACATGATATGAAATTTAGCATCTTAACCATTTTAAGTGTGGAGTTCAGTAGGGTCCATTACATTCACTTTGCAGCCAATCTCTACAACCCTTCTTGTCTTCCCAAACTGAAATTGTCCCCATTAGACAATAACTCCCCTGCCCCCTCCCCTCTAGCCCCTGCAAACCACCGACTTACTTTCTGTCTCTGTGAATTTGACTCCTCTAGGAACCTCACATGAGTGAAATCAAGCAGTATTTGTCCTTTTATCACTGGCTTATATCACTAAGCATAATATCTTCAAGGTTCATCTACCTTTTAGCAGGTGTCAAAATTTTCCTTCCTTTTTATGGCTGAATGATATTCCACTGTACAGATAGACCACATTTGGCTTATCCATTCATCTATCCACGGACACCTGTGTTACTTCCACTTTCTGGCTATGGTGAATAGTGCTTCTGTGAACACAGGTATACAAGTATCTCTTCAATCTGCTGCTTCAATTCTTTTGGGTCTATCCCCAAAACTGCTGAATCATGTGGTAATTCTATTTTTAATTTTCTGAGGAGCCATACTGTTTCCATACTGTTTCCATAGCACCTAGCATCTGTACTATTTTACATTCTCACCAACAACGCACAGGGTTTCAGTTTCTCCACCTTCTCATCGGGCGAAGAAAACATTTTTTAGAACTGTTATTCACACATAACAAAAGACAGCAAATTTAAGTCAATTCATTTTATTGAGTTTTGCAAAAACATCTTTAAACAGCAAAGAATAAGAAAGTATTACAGAAGTTCAAATAGATCCAATTGTAGCATACAGCAGAGCATGCGACTTAAGTCTTATTGTGTGATTTCAATTAATTCACTGTCATAAAATGAATATACTGTCTTTCCTGCTAGGAAATTGCTTCCATATGTTCACCTTACATGGGCCTTCTGAATTTGGGCAGATCAGCACTTTAAGAATTTGAATTTAGTTAATGAGATGGAAGAAATTCTTTTACAATGTATGGGTACATCAAATTGTTAATCAAGTCATCACAAGGTACACTTTAAAAACCTTACAATTTTGTCAATTACATCTCAATGAAGCTAAAAACAAGAATTTAGGGCCTATAAATGATTTTAAAATATGGGGTGGGGGGAAGAGTTCACAGCAAAAGCAGTTGCTGAGCTAAGAAGAAAAACATGACTCAGTATAAATGTTTAGTTGCTGTCATGTCTGACTCTTTTGCAACCCCATGGACTGTAGCCCACCAGACTCCTCTGTCCATGGGATTCTCCAGGCAAGAATACTGGAGTGGGTTGCCATTTCCTCCTCCAGGAGCTCTTTCCACCCAGGGATTGAACCCGAGTCTCCTGCATTTGCAGGCAGGTTCTCTACCCTGAGGCACATGGGAAACCCTCACTATAAAGATAGGTACTAGTTAATTTTAAGTAAAAGAGGCATTTCATGTGCTGCTCAAATGTGGGAAAACTCAATTGGCAAAAGAGAAATATTCATTATAGGGAGCTCTAAAAAAGTACAAATTCTTTACAGGTACACATTCGCATTATTGGGTATTTATGTTTTTTCTCTGCCAATTATTTAAAAAATATAAACAAAGGTGTTTTAGCAAAACAAAAGGGTGACCAATTGATCTAGTAATTAATAAGCAATAATGGAATGTAATGGGGGGAGGGGTTTCATACATGCCAAATAATGACATGAAGAAAGAATACAAAATCTAAAATCGAGTCTTGCTCATCAACTAAAGTAAAAAATTTACTCATCATTTTCCAGTTTAAAGTTTCTTATTTCTATTCAGTTTTTAAAATAACATTAAGATATTTCATGTTGAACTTAAAACTAACTAAAATCATTACATTTTAAATTTAGCCTTAAATTTTATGGAAATTTATTTATATTAAAAAACGGACACAAAAGTAGTCTTTAGTGTTAAAACTTATAATATCAGAAATATCATGGGTGTGTCCAATGTAACCTATAGTTTCCCATGTTTGAAACTATTTGCTGAAACACTAAATAGTCAATACTACGATGGAAATAACTCTTATCCAAAAATAACTGCTCGTTCATCATGGGCCATGTTGTCTGCATCAAGCAAACGAATTCATAGGTTGAGGTTTTATCCTCCAATTCAGGATTTGGGCCCTTCATCCAATATCTGCAATGTTTTGCAACATCCAGTTGAAAATAGGCAAAGAATTTTAGGCACTACCACAAGCTATAGAAAAAACTATGATAATTCGCTATGATGAATTCAATTGTTTCAAACACAGTGCTAAAACCTTGTAACTCTATTTAAGAATTCCGTGGCTGTGAGACTGAACCCTGCCTCCTATCACTTATCCATCAAGGCCAGGATCATGTCACAGGCCAGGTCTTCCTCCAGGTCCTCGCCTTCGGTCTTGGCTTCGAGGAAATCAATGGGCACCGTCTCTTCTGGGTACAGCTCTCCACTCACCAGGGATACCTCCTCGGCTGTGGCTTCTTGGGGAAAAAGGCACAGGGTTGGTATATTTAAAATAAAGCCGAGAAATTAAAATTGATAGATGGTGCAACTGTATCTTGGAAGTAACTGCTGAATTTTTAGCACAGCAGTAAGCATTTTAGAAAGCAATCCTTCTCTTTATAGAACAGTACAAATGTGGTGCTGGAGTAGACTTCTGAGAGTCCTCTGGACAGCAAGGAAATCAAACCAGTCAATCCTAGAGGAAATCAACTGGGAATACTCAGTGGAAGGACAGATGCTGAAGCTGAAGCTCCAATACTTTGGTTACCTGACGTGAAGTGCTGGAAAAGACTTCCCTGATGCTGGGAAAGACTCATGGCAAGAGAAGGGGAAGGCAGAGGACGAGATGGTTGGATAGCATCACCAACTCAATGGACATGAATTTGAGAGAGATAGTGAAGAATCTGGGAGATAGTGAAGGACAGGGAAGTCTGACGTGCTGGAGTTCATGGGGTCACAGAGTCGGACACGACTGAGTGACTAAACAATGACAACAACATGGTCATTTGCTGTAGCATCTCCAGGGGATGGACACGGCGCCCAGCAACTCCACGAGGCCCAGGGACAGTCCACCAGGGTGGCCAAGGACGTCACCGCCCAGCTCACACGTCCAGCCAGGACCCCATAAGATGGGGGTGTGGATCCACCAGGCCCCCAGGCTCACCGCTCTCCGATTCCTCACTGCCATCATCACCCCACTTTACCAGCCCACCCACTGCAGTGGCAGAAGCAATGCTGCAAGGACCAGGCGCCTGCCGGGGTCGGCACTTAGGCTTCCCTTTCACAGTAACTCCCAGGACCCAGGGAAATGTACAACCAGAAACCACTGCGGAATAAAACCCGGCTGGTTTAAAACGAGGTACCGTCTTCCTTGGCTGGCTCTCTTGGGTTGGCGGGCTTCTTCATTGTTCTTTCTTCTTCCACGGTGGCAGGCTTTTCCTGCCCGGAGTTACATTTTTCCGAGTGTCTGTGCATGTTGCTCTGTGGAGGGGAGAGAGAAACGACACAGCAGGGGGCAAGTCATTGTTGCCAGGACCTGCCTGGAAAACCCACGGCTAAAGAGACAGGACGCAGGGAAGAGCGCGTGCCTCGCATAGTTCCTACAAATAAGACAACTTTTTAAAGGAGACTGCTTTCTGTTGTGTTTAGGTCGAGCCAAAATCCTACTCATCTTTAAATATTTTAAACATCATAGGCGTCAGTGAGAAGACAAAATTTATTTTTCTGGACTGTTTTTACTCTATGAAGTGAGGCTTGAAAAATTCAATAGACTGTATCCCGGATTTTATGAAAATCAATGATATACCATGTACATTTCACTATGCTGTCAGCTTCCCCCAGGAAGGTATTAAGATCATACAACATCTGGAGTTAAAAAGGCAGCTCAGAGCTTTCATTTCAGACCTATTAACCATATATTTTTGTCAGCAAACACTCAGGATGATTTAAAATAAGTGAGAACACTTACACTATCTGACAAGTTCATAAACTCAAGGAAGATATTGGCAGCATGTCATTAAATACATCCATTATATAAAACACGCCTCCTAATTTCCATTTTGACTTCAGTGTGGTGCTAAGGACTGTCCTGGTGTGTGGGGAGGAGGAGGGAGGATTCACATGTCAGGGGAGGGGAAATATTATTTACATTTCTTCCATTTTATGCTTAGCCATAGGGGTTGGAACACTGCTTCAACAGCAGACTTAAGTAGCTGGGACAGAAACTGGTCTGTAAAGCTGAAAATTTTTACTTTCTAACCCTTTACAGAAGAAAAGTGTACCAATCCTTGGTTAATAGAGTGATAATGGATGTAAAACCAAGCCTTGTGGAGTCAAAGATTCTTCTGTGAATATGATAAAAGCAATGGCTCCACCCCCAGCAAAGTTCGTAAATCTCCATCTGCAACTTTCCAACTATGTCATGGACTTCCCAACAATGTCACGAAGTTCATGGCTAAGGACCCCAATACCAGTTTTGGATGAACAAACAAAACAAATAAAAACATCAAGGCTTTCAAAAGTAAGTGGGGTAAGATTTTAAGTAAACATATCGATACTTGGGGCTTCCCAGATGGCGCTAGTGGTAAGGAACACGCCTGCCAATGCATAAGACATAAGACGTGAGGGTTCAATCCTGAGTCAGGACGATCCCCTGGAGAAGGAAATGGCAACCTACTCCAGTATTCTTGCTTGGAGAGTTCCTTGGACAAAGGAGCCTGGCAGGCTACAATCCACAGGCTCGCAAAGAGTCAGACGTGACTGAGCGACTTTGCACACAACATTTAGGGCCCAGAGAGCAAAGTGTAATAATACAACAAACACTCGTGTCAGGGAAGCGTTTCTCAAGAGAGGAGGCCCCTGGTACTCCGAATCCAGAGTGGGGGTCTGCCTCGAGGAGTACACAGGGCCCGCTGTGTGTTACAGACAGTTCTCTACTACTTTTTAAAAATTAAATTGAATTTGAGTATCCATATATGCTTTCATTTATTTCAACAGTTTTTTTTTTTTTTTTTTGGAGTAGTTTTACATTCTCAGCAAAATTCAGAGGGAGGTAGAGATTTTCTGCCCTAAAAATTCTTTGTTTTGTGCCTGTGCATTCCTCCATCAAGCTCAACCCTTGGAGGCCATTGATCTGTTTATTGTCTCCATAGTTTTGCCTTTTCCAGAGAGTCATGTAGTGGGAATCATACAATCTGTAGTCTTTTCAGACTGGCTTCTTTCACCTAATGAGAATGTACAGTTCCTCTGTGTCTTTTCACGGCTTGATGGCTCATCCCCTTTTAGCACTGACTAATATCCCACTGTCTGGATGCACCGCAGTTTATGTGTCCATCCACCTACTCGAGGAAGCCTTGGTTGCTTCCGAGTTGGGCTATTATGAGTAAAGCTGCTATAAACACCCGTGAGCAGCTTTGTATGTAAATATAAGCTTTCAGCTCTTTGGGGGCAAATATCAAAGAACACGATTGCTGGACTGTACTGTAGTACTCTACGAGTACGTTTAGTTTTGCAGGAAACTTCCAAGCTGTCTTCCAAAGTGGCTGCGCTGTTTTACACTTTCACCAGCAACGAATAACAGTTCCTGTTGCTCCACATCCTTGCCAGCATCTGGTGTTGTCAGTGTTCTGGATTTTGGCTGCTCCAATAGGTGTGTCGTGGCATCTAATTTTTTTTTTAAGTGTTAAATAAAATGACGTTTATTCTAACAAGTTATTACACATGTTTCGGTAAAATAGCAATTGGTTGAATTTGCATTTCCCTGATGACACATGATGGGGAGTAATTTTTCGTAGGCTTATTTGCCATCTGTATATCTTTCTAAGAAGATCATGGCATCCGGTCCCATCACTTCACGGCAAATAGATGGGGGAAAAGTGGAAGCAGTGACAGATTTTACTTTCTTGGGCTCCATAATCACTGAGGATGGTGACTGCAGCTATGAAATTAAAAGACGCTTGCTCCTTGGAAGAAAAGCTGTGACAAAGCTAGCGTATTAAAAAGCAGAGACATCACTTTGCTGACAAAGGTCTGTCTAATTAAAGCTATAGTTTTCCCGGTAGTCATGTACAGATGTGAGAAGTGGACCATAAAGAAGGGTGAGTGCTGAAGAACTGATGCTTTCAAATTGCAGTGCTGGAGAAGGCTCTAGAGAGTCCCTTGGACTGCGAGAAGATCAAACCACTCAGTTTAGTTCAGTTCAGTCGCTCAGTCATGTCCGATTCTTTGCGACCCCATGGACTGCAGCATGCCTGGCCTCCCCATCCATCACCAACTCCTGGAACTTACTCAAACTCATGTCCATTGAGTCGGTGATGCCATCCAGCCATCTCATCCTCTGTTGTCCCCTTCTCCTCTCGCCTTCAATCTTTCCCAGCATCAGAGTCTTTTCAAATGAGTCAGTTCTTCGCATCAGGTGTACAAAGTACTGGAGTTTCAGCTTCAGCATCAGTCCTTCCAATGAACATTCAGGACTGATTTCCTTTAGGATGGACTAGTTGGATCTCCTTATAGTCCAAGGGACTCTCAAGAGTCTTCTCCAACACCACAGTTCAAAAGCATCAATTCTTCAGGGCTCATATTTCTTTATAGTCCAACTCTCACATCCATACATGACTACTGGAAAAACCTTAGCTTTGACTGGATGGACCTTTGCCAATCCTAAAAGAAAGAACTCAGCCCTGAATATTCATTGGAAGGACTGATGCTGGTGCTCCAGTACTTTGACTATCTGGTGCAAAGAGCCAACTCGTTGGAATAGACCCTGATGCTGGGAAAAACTGAAAGCAAAAGGAAAAGAGGGCAACAGAGGATGAGATGTTTGGATGGCATCACTGACTCAATGGACGTGAATTTAGTGGAAGTGGAAGACAGAGGATCCTGGGGTGTCATAGACCATGGGGTTGCAAAGAGTCAGACTCAACTTAGCGACTGAACAATGACAATTATCTTCTTTGGTGAGGTGTCTGTTAAAATCCTTGGTCCATTTTTTAATTGGGTCGTTTTCTTGTGGTTGAGTTTTAAGAGTTCTTTGTATTCTTGATAAATCTTTTATCAGATTTGACATTTGCAAATATTTCCTCCTAGTTTGTAGCTTATGTGCTCATTCTTTTGACATAGTCTTTCACAGAAGATTTTTTAACTTTATTGAAGCCCATTGTATCAGTTGTTTCTCTCATGGATCATGTCTTTGGTGTTTTTTCTATAAAGACATCACCATACCAAGGTCATCCAGAACTTTCCCCCCTGTGTTATACTCTAAGGCTTTAACAGCTTTTTTTTTTTTTTTAAACCTGTAAGTCTGTGATCCATTTTGAGCTAATTTCTGGAAGAGTGTAAGGCCTGGATCTCGATTTTTTTTTTTTTGGCATGTGGGTGTCCCATTGCTCCAGCATCATTTGTTGAAAAGATTATCTTTTCTCCATTGCCTTGCTTTTGCTCCTTTTTCAAAGATCAGCTGATTATGTTTTGGGAGGTCTATTTCTGGGGTCTCTATTCTGTTCCATTGATCTGTTGGTCTGTTCTTGCACCAACATCACACTATCTGCAGTTTTTTTTTTAATAATTTTGTTTATTTTAAAAAAGTTTATTTATTTGGCTGCATCGGGTCTTAGTTGCAGCCACTTGGGATCCCTTGTTGCGTCATGGGAACTCTAGAGCACGTGGCTCAGCAGTTGTGGCACCCGGGCTTAGTCATCCTACGGCATGTGGGATCTTGGTTCTCCGACCGGAGATCGAACCTGCGTCCCTAGCACTGGAAGGCAGATTCTTAACCTCTGGACTAGCCGGGAAGTCCCTAAGGCTTTATAGTAAGTCTTGAAGTCAGGCAGCATGAGTCTCCCAACTTCATTCTTCTCCTTCAATATTATGGGTCTTCTGCTCTCTCTGTAAACCTTGGAATCAGTTTGTCAGTAACCACAAAGTAACTTGCCAAGACTTTGATGAGAATTGCACTGAATCTATAGGTGACACCTTGATGATACTGAATTTTCTTATCCATAAACCTGGAATATCTCTCTACTCATTTGGTTCTTCTTTGACTTCATTCATCAGAGCATTCTTCATTTCTCTTATAGTGTTATTGATCTCCAGAATTTTTCAGTTCTTTCTTAGGATTTCCAGCTCAGCTTACATGGCATGCTGCCTGTTTTTTCTCTTTGAGCTCTTAGCATATGAATCATAGTTGTTTTAAACTCCTGTCTGATAATTCCAAGGTCCCTGGCCCTCCTGATGCTCAATCTCTTCAAATTTTTATTTATTTATTTTTTCTGTTTGGCATGTTTTGGAATTTATTCTTGTTAGCTGGACATGATGTACTGTATAAAAGAAACTGCTGTAAATAGGCCTGGGCTCCAAAATCACTGTGAATGGTGATTGCAGCCGTGCAATTAAAGGCTGCTTGCTCCTTGGAAGAAAAGTTATGACAAACCTAGACAGCATATTACAAAACAGAGACATTACTCTGTGGACAAAGGCTCCTATAGTCAAAGCTATGGTTTTTCCAGTAGTCATGTATGGATGTGAGAGTTGGACCAAAGGAGGCTGAGTGCTGAAGAATTGATTCTTTTGAACTGCAGTGCTTCAGAAGAGTCTTGAGAGTCCCTTGGACTACAAGGCGATCAAACCAGTCATTCCTAAAGGAAATCAACTCTGAATATTCATTGGAAGGACTGTTGCTGAAGCTGAAGCTCCAATACTTTGGCTGCCTGATGTGAAGAGTCAACTCACTGGTAAAAGACCCTGATGCTGGGAAAGAGTGAGGGCACGAGGAGATGGAGGTGACAGAGGACGAGATGGTTGGATGGCATTACTGATTCAAAGGACATGAACTTGGGCAAACTCTGGGAGATGATGAGGGACAGGGAAGGCTGGCGTGCTACAGTCCATGGGGTCCCAAAGAGTTGGACACAACTTGGTGACTGAACAACAAATATTCTACTGAACAACAGTTGTTCTACTGAACAACAAACGGATGGGCAGCATTTTATCTGTTTGTTATTGATGGACATTTAGGGAGTTTCCACTTTTTAATGAATAATGCTGCTGTGAACGGCTGTGTGCACATTTTTGTGTAGCCGTAAGTTCTCACTTCTTTGGGTTACATGACTAGGTGTGGAATTGCCAGGTTACACGGTAACTCTATGTTTAACTTTTTGAGGACCTGCCAGGCTATCTTACAAGGTGACTTCATCATTGAAGAATTGCACCAGTAGTGTATGAGGGGTCCAGTCTCCCCACATCTTTTATGATCTGTCTTCTTTGATGACAGTTACCCTGATGGCTATCCCATGGGGTAACTCACCATCATTCTGCTTTGCATTTCCTTAGTGAGGAATCTTTTCACAAGCCTATGGTTTATCTGTATATCTTCTTTGGAGAAATGTCTACTTAGATCCTTTGCCTGTTTTTAAAAGAATACTTAACTTTCCATTATTGAGCTGTAAAAGTTCCTTATACATTCTAGACCCAAGTCCCAATGTGCTTGCTTGAATAGGAGGAAAAGTTTCAAAACTTCCGATTATATGTTCTGAAGGAGTCTATGAGGCTGACTTATTCTTTTCTCTGTTTTCCTGTGGCTTCTTTACAATTTTAACTCAGCATGAGTGACACTGTTTCTGGAGCACTGCCACTGCTTCTGTGTGAATTCTGAAGTTTTAGCATTAACACTCTAAAGTAAAAGTGTTGGCATTAACACTCTAAGTGTCCCATGACACTACCCCAAAAACACAACGACCCTACTATCGTCTCTTAAGAGGAAAGACAGTTTCTCCCATAAAATAATAAAATTCAGATCATTTTAAGCTTTTATAAAGTTAGAGTGAAGCATCGTATCTAGGAATCTGGCTAATCATCTCTGGTGCCTTTAAAATGTCCATAAATTGATACTTTTTTCTTTCAAAAGGGACTCATTCCCCATCCCTGGAATAGGGCCTGAATTATGTGATGCGTTTGCAATGAACAGAAGCAGGGTCGTGTCACTTTTAAGACTAGGGACAAAAGGCACCGCGGCTTCCTCCTTGCTCTCTCTCACTCGCTCTGGTTATGAGGACACTTGAGCAGCCCAGTGGAGAGGTCCACGTGGTCAGGAACTGTGGCCTCCAGCCAAAAGCCCCGTTGAGAGCGCCAGCTTGGAAGTGGTCCCTCCAGCCCTCGTCAAGCCTTCAAACGACCTCAACCCTGACAACATGCTGATTGCGACTCATGAGAGACCCAGAGCCAGAAGCACCCCAACTTCCTGAGCCACAGAAAATGAGACAGGACAAACGTGGGTTGTGTTAAGCCAGTACGTTGCGGGTAATTCGTGATGCCATAGATAACCAATACAACATCTAAAAAACGATGAATAGAATAGTAAATCTATGTCTTGGCATAGCACCAATGGCACAAATCTAAGAATATCTACAAAACGTATGAAAAACAGCATTCTCTCTATGAAGTAGCCTAAATCGAATCCACAAGGACAATTCTTTGAAATGTTACCTGAGAAGCAGGGGTTCTTTAGTCTGACTTCCCTTAAAGACATGTGCAAGATTCTGTCTGCAGGATTGTCTTTTTCCACAGAAGGGAGACGACACGTTTATATAACATTTCCAAGACTTCGTGACTCCAAAAAACTAATAACCACTTTCCTAAGGCATGACAGATGCTATCGTAAATCCTAGCAAGTTTCTATAATCAGGTTTAAACTGCCTGGGCGTGACACTGTGCCTGGGGGATCCCGGGATCTTTTCAATGAGGATTTATTGTGACTTGAGTGAGCTTACCCAGCGGGAAAAACCTTTGCCACACTTGGGGCATTCATAAACAGTCGGGACGAAATTGGCATCGTGGTATTTCTTGAAGTGCGCATTTAGAAGCTGCTGCTGTCGGAAACATTTATTGCAGGAGAGACAGACAAATGGCTTCTCTCCGGTATGGGTACGTATGTGAACTGTCATATGACGTTCCTGGAAGGCAAGGAAAACAAACAGGCTGAGCTACTGACAATTTTTTAGTATCAGGCATTATTTATTGTGTGTGCTTAGTCACTCAGTCTGTCTGAGTCTTTGTGACCTCATGGACTGTAGCCTGCAGAATACTGGAATGGGTTGCCATTTCCTCCTCCAGGGCATCTTCCTGACCTAGGGATTGAAGCAGCATCTCTTGCATTGCAGGCAAATTCTTTCCCGCTGAGCCACTGGGGAAGACCCATTATTAATTGCATACCTTTCCCCCCTCCTCCAAAGATGTGTGCATTTTTAAGAAAAAATAAAGCCAATGCATTCTCAACACAGCACTACTACAGAAGCAGCATAGTATGGCCTCTAGGAAGCATGGTCTTACCCGGTCCTTGCCACCAGGTTACCAAGTTCTCACGATTAATCCCAGCCGGTCCTTCACTCCCGGGGGGATGAGGCAGACCACACTTGGAAGAGTGAAACCGAAATCAATTTCCTCTCCAGAAGAGCTCATGTAGCTGCAGCCTCAGTTCTATAATTATTTGCCATGATCCGAGTTTACAAAGAGCAGACAGATCCTGTAAACTTGAAAACCTATCATTAGAGTTTCAATTCAGCGGATATTTGGGGGTCGAAGAAAGTTAAGCATCTAAACATTTTCCTGGCTATTACCTGATGGTATTACAGCAAATCTCCATATCGATTTAAAAGCACAGTGGTGAAAATCATTGTTCTCAGCAAAGAAATCACCAGAAATTTTAACTAAGACTTATATGAGTAACTCATTTGGGGAATCAAGACAAAAATATAGATTCTACATGCTGTGGGACGACTGAGCTGACGTGCTACAACTACTAAGCCTGCGCACTAGAGTCCCATGTGCTGCAACGAGAACCCACCGCGATGAGAAACCCACGCACTGCAACTTGAGAGTAGCTCCCAATTTCCACAACTTGAGAAGGCCACACGCATCACCAAAGACTCAGCACAACCAAAAATAAATAAATTAATTAAAAAACAAGACACACAGCAGTCCTGCTTGGCGTGGCCACTCTGACGCATGTTCGCGCAGCCCCACTGCTTTTGCACCATCAGTGCCAACATCAGATAGCGAAAGGGCAGAGAGTGTGTTGTCAGCATAACTACTTAATGGCAGTGACTTTGACCTTATGATTCTGATTGGCTTCAAGGACCTCAAGGGGTCTGTGAGCCACACTTTTTTGTAAAAGCAACTCTTGGCTCATGCACAGCTGTCTTCTGGCTATTCTGAACAGTCTCTTTTATGGAAGGCACGATTTTCCAGAATATGTTCAAAGTGAAAGAGAATCCCACTCCAGCCCTTCCTTCTTCCAGCTCCCCCTGCCCCCCAGCACCTGCCCGGAGTCCCTGATACACAGTACCTGCTTGCAGGCATAGCTGCAGTAGTCACACTTGAATCTCTTCTCATTTTTGTGAGTTTTCTGGTGCTGGATGAGATTGTAGCGATCGTGGAAGACAGCAGGGCAGTAACGGCACTTCATCTCTGCAGTCTTGTATGTGTGCAGGTTGCGCAAATGGACACCTAAAAGCATCATGGAGCATCGTGTACAAGAAGTTATTTTCTGTGAGGTTGATTCCCCCTACCCTTCAAATAAGAGTTTCTCAGCCTTGGAACTATAGGCAGACCTCAGAGATACTGCAGGTTCCCTTTCAGACCATTATGATAACCAAATAAAACAAATATTAATACATGGATGCTTTTGCTTCCCAGTGCCTATAAATCTTATGTTTATGCTATTGTCTATTAAGTGTGCAGTAGCATTGTGTCTAAAAAACTAGATACATGCTTTAATTTAAAACTACTTTACTGCTTTAAAAAATGCTAATTGTCATCTGAGCCTTCAGCAAGTCATAATCTTTTTGCTGGTGGAGGATTTGAAATATTGTGAGATTTATACCAAAATGTGATACACAGACAAGAAGTGAACAAATGCAGCTGGAGAAAAATGGTGCAGATAGACTTGCTCAATGCAGGGTTGCCACAAACGTTCAATGTGTAAAAAACACATCTGAGGAGCACAATAAAGCAAGGTGCAATAGAATGGGGTGTTCTGGTAGTAACACTTGAAGCTGGCTGATGTTTTCCTGGGCAGGGTGGGGGCATCCTGGGTGCTGCAGGATGTATGTTTAGCAAAAATGCTGGCCTCCACCCTCTGGCACCAGTTGAATCCCTTCCTCCCCAGGGTGACCACCAAAGTGCCTCCAGATACTGCCAAATGCCCACCTCCCCAGCCATAAAGTCATTCTCAGCTGAAAACGGCTGCTTTGAATGCACAGTGTACTGACATCTCATGCTAGTATCTCTCATGGAGTTAAGTACATAAGGTAGGACATATCAGACCAACATGTTCATTAAACAAAGCACTTGGAGAACCTTACTACGTGGGTGGATTTTTAGGATAATGTTAAGATGGTTTTACGTGCATGTCCGTGCACACGCTGATTGTGTCCGACTCTTTGCAACCTTATGGACTGTAGCCCACCAGGCTCCTCTGTCCACAGGGTTTCCCAGACAAGAATACTAGAGTGGGTTGCTATTTCCTTCTCCAAGGGATCTTCCCAATTCTGGGATAAAACTTGTGTCTCGTGTCTCCTGCATTGGCAGGCAGGTTTTTACCACTGTGTTGCCTAGGATGGTTTTATGTAACAAAGATATAAATTCTGCATTTTTTGTGAAATTAAAAAAATATATATATTTATTGGGCTGCACCAGGTCTTAGTTGGGGCATGCAGGATCTAGTTCTCTGATCAAGGATCAAACCTGGGCCCCCTGCATTGGGATCTCTGAGTGTTAACCACTGGACCACCAGGGAAGTCTCTAACCTCTGTATTCTGACTTAAAAGCCCAGACGTTCTGTTAGATGTCAATCCTCTGATTTTTCCTATGTCGTAATTGACAGACACACTCTAAGATATTCTTGTCAACGGAGTCTAGTGCGAGTTGGCTTTGTGATCCTTACTGTCAGAGGCTAAACTAAAGCCAACAATTGTTGGGCGGAGGCACACACACCAGGTGCGCTGACTCAGTCATTTAAAGAGTTTGGTATCTCCTATAGAAACAAGACAGAGAAGGCAATGGCACCCCACTCCAGTCCTCTTGTCTGGAAAATCCCATGGATGGAGGAGCCTGGTAGGCTGCAGCCCATGGGGCTGCTGGGAGTCAGACACGACTGATAGACTTCACTTTCACTTTTCACTTTCATGCATTGGAGATGGCAATGGCAACCCACTCCAGTATTCTTGCCTGGAGAATCCCAGGGATGGGGGAGCCTGGTGGGCTGCCGTCTATGGGGTCGCACAGAGTCGGACACGACTGAAGTGACTTAGCAGCAGCACAGAGACAAGAAGGAAGGCTGAGCTTGTTTATAGAGCATCTCATGACATGTATGGAGGGTGTCACTGACTCAGATGGGCCATAGCCTGTATTTCTTGGTGGTGGTGTCAAAAATGTCCCTTCTTGGCAACTGGCTCATGCTTCACGCCCTACAAGGTCCTGCTGGGCTGTTTTGCAACTGACAAAGATTTTGAATGAAAAATAAAAGCTAAGCTAAACACCTTTACCCTTTCAGAAATGTTTTCAAAATAGTGTCTCTCATCTCTAGAATTTCTGTGGGCAAACTGGGGACTCTATCTCTGCTGGCATATTCTGAGCATCACAGTGTTATATGGTTTAGGAAGAGGACAGAGGCAGTGGAAACTAAGGGACCAGGAACCCTGGAACAAAGGAGAGAGGCTGGCTCACTCACTCTCCCTGTCCCCCACCCCTGACACCAACTACAACCAGTTTCCCATGAAGGTGGCATATGATCCCAGCTCTCAACTTGGCACTCAGAGCTGCTCAAGGTGCCTCCTCTGTTATGATGGTTTACCGGGTCACAATGAGGATTTCATGTCACAGGAAGAGGACTCTTTCACTGAAGCAAGTTCCTTATGGGAAGAACCATGTCCCACTTCTTACTTTTGTACCTTTAGTTCCCATAACGTTTCAGGGTCACAGCAGGGGCTTAAGAAAAGCTTGCTGAGTGTCACTGGACAGAACACTGATAAAAGATTCAGAACCTGCAACGAGGCCATATCTTGGCATCCTGGTCGCGTGACTCTGGGGTAAGTTCACTTTCTGTCTCTGATCCCCTTCGTCATTTGTAAAAAAAACAGACCCAACGTGGAGCCAAGTTCACACCCACAGGAAACCCATTATGAGCTCAAATGCCCGTGAGAGCTCATCTGTGTACCTAAAGTGGACCTGGACCAAACTCTGAAACTGCAGTTATGGGATATAGCCACAAGATGGCACCATAGGACCTCTGGAAAAAAAACCCAACCAGCCCCAGGAGCAGTTCTTGAATCCTACTGCCTCCCTGCCATAAGCCTAGGGCTCCTCAGGTTTCCCAGAGCTGCACACAGTGCAGACAGAAGTCAGTGGCACTGACACGTACACGCTATCATATGTAAAACACAGCTAGTGGGAAGACGCTGTACCGCAGAGGGAGCTCAGCTCAGGGCTCTGGGGTGACCTAGAGGGGTGGGATGGGGCGGGGTGGGAGAGAGGCTGATTCATGTTGTACTGCAAAGCAGCTATGAAAAGTGAAAGTCTTCGTGGCTCTGTCATATTCGAGTCTTGCAACCCCATGGACTGCAGCCTGCCAAGCTCCTCTGTCCATGGGATTCTCCACACACAAATACCGGCGTGGGTTTCCATTTCCTTCTCCAGAGATCTTCCTGATCCCAGGATTGAACCCAGGGCTCCTGCATAGCAGGCAGATTCTTTACCGTCTGAGCCACCAGGGAACTGGTGAAAAGCCCAAAGCAACTACACGCCAATGAAAAAAAACAGTAAAGGACGTTCCGGAAGCCAGACACTCACGCAGGTCGCTCTTTCTGGCGATGACGGTGGTGCAGTGTGGGCACTGGTACTTGGGGACATTCTCGCTGTGCTTCTGCTCGATGTGCATCTTCATGGTCCCGCTCTGGGTGAAGCGGGCATGGCAGATGTGGCATTCGTAGGGCTTCTCACCTGGGACACGGAGGACAACAGTGACCCTCCGCCGAGGGGCTCCATCCCGAAAACCCTGGTGCTCCCCAAAAGATACCTGGAGCTGAAAGCCTTTCTTTCCCCAAATATTCCCTTTTCAGCTCCTTCATCCTATGTTTGACTCTCCAGTGGGCACAAGATTCTTAAAGCAAGCCGGACAACATCACGTCCAGCTGAGTGGACAGTGGGCCAGAGGGGGCAACTCTGCTAACGTCTGGGGGCTGCTCATGGTTCAAGACCCACGCATGCCTGTGCGCTCAGTCGCCCCAGTCATGTCCAACTCTTTGAGACCCTAGGGACTGTAGCCCGCCAGGCTCCTCTGTCCATGGGATTCTCCAGGCAAGACACTGGAGTGGGTTGCCATGCCCTCCTCCAGGGGTTCTTCCCGAACCAGGGAAGGAACCCACATCTCTTGTGTCTCCTGCATTGGCAGGCGGGTTCTTTACCACTAGCACCACCCGGGAAGCCCTCAGAGACAGCAATGCTTTACCTAATTGGCCTTAAGCAAGAGAAACTCATACCTGAATGTGTTCTCATGTGCCGCTTCAGCTTGTAGGTGTCCTTGCTGGCATAGCTGCAGAGGGAGCACTGAAACGGGCGCTCACCCGTGTGCGAGCGGATGTGGCGCTTCAACTTGCTCGCCTGGTAAACAAACGAAAGATATTTATTGCAATGGAAACATCAAACCTGTGGACTCTTGAAATGAAGCAGCATTATAAAAGATATGTAAATGAGCCCAACGTTAACATCAGAGCCCATTTCACACCCCGGAAAACATGCTAAGCCTTTCATTTTCCTCTCTGGGTTGGACGGTGTCCTTCATCTGAGTTGTGTGCGCTGAGATCCTCGGGCGATGATGAGCGGGAGGGTCAAGAGACTCTCATCTTCAGCTTCGCTTTGCAAGGGAAGATGGAAATCCAGATGCTCAGCACAAACAGGATGTTATTTTCATTTCTAAAGCAACATCCTCTCAAAAGTGGCAAAGTTTAGATTATGCTGCAGAAGCGCGGAGGCCACAAAACTATTGTTTGTGTAGAGAAACTTGAAACATGAGCTCTTGAATGGACTTGCATCTGTTGGAGGCAATTCACAGCTCCAAGTCCTGTGGACCCTAAACAACCCAGGGATGGAGGAAAGCCTTCTTGGTAATTAAGAAGAGGTTCCAGGGACTTCCCTGGTGGTCCAGTGGCTAGGACTCCACACTCCCAATGCAGGAGGCCCAGGTTCGATCCCTGGTCGGGTAACTGGATCCCACATGCCATAACCCGAGCGAAGACTGAAGATTCTGTGGGCCGCAACTAATGCCTTGAGCAGTCAAATAACTACCTTTTAACAAAAGAATAGGTTCCACACGGCAGTAGCTTCTCCGTGAGAAGTAACTTTAAAAAAATCATTTATTCTATTTGTGAATGCATTGGGTCTTTCTTGCTGTGTGGGGGCTTTCTCTAGTTGCAGAGGGCGAGTGCTACTCTAGTTGTGGACGGGCTCCTCATTGCAGTGGCTTCTCTTGCTGCGGAGCACGGGCTCTAGGTGCTCAGCCTTCAGTAGTTGTGACGCATCGGCTTAGTTGCTCCGTGGCCTGTGGAATCTTCCCAGATCAGAGATTGATCGAACCCATGTCCCCTGCATTGGCAGGCAGATTCTTCTTCCCTGTACCACCAGAGAAGTAACTTTTAAGTAGAAGAAAAGTAACTTTTAAGTAGGAAAAAAACCACTACATTCTAATTTGATTAGAATGCACGTATCTTACTCAGTTAAAAGGCAGACATGCCTCTCATTTGATTTTTTTTTTTTTTGCCTACTTTATTACCTTCAAGAACTGTTCTTACTCTATGATCACTTATTTTGGGCCTTTATCTACATTTAGTAGAAGAGAAGGTAATCACTCATGCCTGGAATACAGATGTCAGAGGATGCCTGAGCAGCCTCTTTGTAATCTTAGGAGGGCTGCGCTGGGCTGGGTTCCCTAATGTGTGGCAACTACACACAAGCCTGAAGGACATTCTAGAACGGAGGAAGACTTGGAAAACAAGAGCCAAACCAAAAAAAATTCAGCTTTTAGGTTTTCATTTCTGTTTATTTAGTTTTGGTTGGACTGGGTCTTTGCTGCTGCGGCAGGCTTTCTCCAGTTGCAGCGAGTGGGGGCTACTCTTCGTTGCGGTGAGTCGGCCTCTCGTTGCGGTGGCTTTTCTGTTTGCAGAGCACAGGCCCTTGGCGCACAGGCTTCGGGAGTTGCGGCACGTGGGCTCAGCAGTTGTGGCCCACGGGCTCAGCGGCTCTGTGGCTTGTGGGACCTTCCCAGACCAGCGATTGAACCCCTGCATTGGCAGGCTGATTCTTTATCCACTGCGCCACCAGGGAAGTCCCAGCTTAGATTTTTAGAAGGAAAAAAGATATCTTTGAGTGTACCAGACAGCAAAACAAAAAGAACTTTTAAAATCATAGCATGAAAGGTTTGAATGGTGTGAATGATCAAAGAAGAGTGTTAGTCACATAGGTGTGTCCGACTCTGTGATCCTATAGACTGTAGCCTGCCAGGCTCCTCTCTCCATGGGATTCTCCAGGCAAGAATACTAGAGTGGGTAGCCTCTCCCTTTTCAAGGGGATCTTCCTGATGCAGGGATCGAACCCAGGTCTCCTGCACTGCAGGCAGACTCTTTACTGAGCCACCAGAGAAGCCCATTAAAGAAGGCTGTGTGAACCTTCTCTGGACGGCTATGAAAGTGAGATAGGGAGAGAGTGGAGTTCAGAAGCTGCTATACCTGTACCCCAGCCTGACTCACTCCTGCCGGCACTTGTGTATAGGGGTGATGTCAGACAGGGGAATTGGGCTACTCCTCCTTGGAGCAGACCAGCATGCTACACTTCGAAAGTGCAAAAATGGCTTGGGAAGATTCCCCGGAGAAGGGAAAGGCAACCCACTTCAACATTCTTGCCTGGAGAATTCCATGGACAGAGGACCCCGGGGGCCTACAGTCTATGGGGGTCACAAGGAGTCAGACACCTGAGCGACTTTCAGGATCCTATGGTCCTTGCCCCCCCCCCCCCCCACACCGCCCCTGCAACATGTTCTCTGCCTGCCTTTTGTCTGTAGAAAACTTTAGTCAAAAAATAAGTTCAACCAGAGAGTGAGAAATGCTGAAACAAATGAAAAACAAAGTCAAAAAAGACTCAATAATAATGATGTTTTCATTAAGCATAGTGAAGGACCTTTAGTTCTTTCTCAAGGGCTATAGATAATATTCTAGGCCATATCCTGTGAACTGTCTTACAGATACTAAAACACCAGGTGGGAAAGTTAACTACATGAAGACCAGACGGCATCCAGGACATGAGAATTCTGAGAATTCTGCCACAATTCTGAGAATTGGACTCAAAGAAATGGGAACAAAGGGACCCTGGAACTGAAGATTAACTGTACCTAAAACAACCAAGATGATGCTAGGCCAACCAGTGATAACCAATTTGAAGACGATTGTTACAGATGACTGCTGTTTCTGCATGTAGCTGTCCCCCCAACCAACTCTGTCTATAAAGGCTCTCACCCTCTGCTTGTCGGGGTGGGAGGAGTTGGCCTTTGGACAAATGTCCGCCACCCTCTCCCCCAAGTTGCTGGTGGTGATTATTTAGTCGCTAAGTCGTGTCCGACTCTTGTGACCCCGTGGACTGTAGCCTGCCAGGCTCCTCTGTCCATGGGATTGTTCCAGGCAAGAATATTGGAGTGGGTTGCCATTTCTTTCTCCAGGGGATCTTCCCAACCCAGGAATCGAACTTGGGTCTCCTGCATTGCAGGCAGATTCTTTACTGACTGAGCTACACTGGCACCTGAAATTAAAGCAAACTTTCCTTTCCACCAACCTGGCCTGTTTATTGGCTTTTGAGTGGCGAGCAGCTGGACCCCACACATTCTTTTGGTTACATTTTCTTTTTTTTTCTTTCATTTATTTTTATTAGTTGGAGGCTAATTACTTTACAATACTGAAGTGGGTTTTGTCATACATTGACATGAATCAGCCACGGAGTTACATGTATTCCCCATCCCGATCCCCCCTCCCACCTCCCTCTCTACCCGATCCCTTTGGGTCTTCCCAGTGCACCAGGCCCGAGCACTTGTCTCATCGTTTCAGGGTCACAGCAGGGGCTTGAGAAAAGCTTGCTGAGTGTCACTGGACAGAACACTGCTAAAAGATTCAGAACCTGCAATGAGGCCATATCCTGGCATCCTGGTCACGTGACTCTGGGGTAAGTTTGCTTTCTGTCTCTGATCCCCATTGTCATTTGTAAAAGAAAAAAACAGACCCAACATGGAGCCAAGTAACACCCAGAGGAAGCCCATTATGAGCTCAAAAGCCTGTGAGAGCTCATCTGTGTACCCAATGTGGACCTGGACCAATCTCTCACACCGCAGTTATGTGATATAGCCACAAGATGGCACCATAGGACCGCTGGAGAAAAAAAAAAAAAAAACACCAACCAACCCCAGGAGCAGCTCTTGAATCCTACTGCTTCCCTGGCATAAGCCTAGGGCTCCTCGGGTTTCCCAGAGCTGCACACAGTGCAGACAAAAGAAGTCAGTGGCACTGACACGTATACGCTATCACATGTAAAACATAGCTAGTGGGAAGATGCTGTACGGCAGAGGGAGCCCAGCTCAGGGCTCTGGGGTGACCTAGAGGGGTGGGATGCGGCGGGCGGGAGAGAGGCTCAAGGAGGAGGGAATATATGTATACATGTAGCTGATTCACGTTGTACTGTAAAGCAGCTATGAAAAGTGAAAGTCTTCGTGGCTCTGTCATATTCGAGTCTTGCAACCCCATGGACTGTAGCCTGCCAGGCTCCTCTGTCCATGGGGTTCTCCACACACAAATACTGGCGTGGGTTTCCATTTCCTTCTCCAGAGGATCTTCCTGATCCGGGATTGAACCCAGGGCTCCTGCATGGCAGGCAGATTCTTTACCGTCTGAGTCACCAGGGAACTGGTGAAAGGCCCAAAGCAACTACATGCCAATGAAAGAAAAAAAATAAAGGACGTTCAAAGAGTCAGACACTCACACAGGTCACTCTTCCTGGTGATGATGGTGGCGCAGTGGGAGCACTGGTACTTGGGGACATTCTTGCTGTGCTTATGCACGATGTGCATCTTCATGGTCCCGCTCTGGGTGAAGCGGGCATGGCAGATGTGGCATTCGTAGGGATTCTCACCTGGGACATGGAGGACAACAGTGACCCTCTGTCGAGGGGCTCCATCCCGAAAACCCTGGTCTGACTCTTGTGACCCCATGGACTGTAGCCTGCCAGGCTCCTCTGTCCATGGGATTGTTCCAGGCAAGAATATTGGAGTGGGTTGCCATTTCTTNTCTGCTGATGGGCATCTAGGTTGCTTCCATGTCCTGGCTATTATAAACAGTGCTGCGATGAACACTGGGGTGCACCTGTCTCTTTCAGATCTGGTTTCCTCGGTGTGTATGCCCAGAAGTGGTATTGCTGGGTCATATGGCAGTTCTATTTCCAGTTTTTTAAGAAATCTCCACACTCTTTTGGTTACATTTTCATTATACAGTTACAACCTTTAGCTCAGATGAGAAATAATTTTTAAAAATAATAATAGCAAAAAAAAATTATTTTTGGAATCAAATTCTGACACTGTCTGTGAAATTTCCTAGTTGATGAAACACAGTTGCATGACTACTGCATTTAAACTTTCGCTGTCCCCTTTGGCTTAGTTGAGTTTGAGTGTCTTTTCCTTGCCCAATAGGCTCAGGACCCAGCATGTGCTGTACTGGACAGTGGAGTCCTTAAACCTTGCAGAAAAGTGACATTCAAAAGTAACTGTGGTCCAGTGGTTAAGAATCCGCCTCACAATTCGAGGGACGCTGGTTTGATCCCTGGTCTTGGAGGATCTCACATGCAGCGGAGCAACTGGGTCTGTGAGACACAACTACTGAGTCTGTGCTCGAGAGCCCGGAGCCGTGATGACTGAAGCCCACACACCCTAGAGACTATTGCTCCACAACTAGAGAGTAGCCCCCACTCGCTGCAAAACCTGCGTGTAGCAACGAAGACCCAGCACAGACCAAAATAAAAATAAGAAAATAAAAAGTCTAAAAAGTAACTGTACTCTTCTGCTGTCATTTCACTGAGGATGAGCTCAGTTTTCTGGAAGGCATAAATAAACCAATCTAGTTGAAACGATCACGACAATACTGAAGATTGAAAAAGGTGTTCTCTGTCCTTAGCAGAAATGGCCATGTTTAAATCTTTAAGCAAGTTGCTTTGCATGGAACCAAGTACCACTGAGGAAAGCTCAAAGATTTCAGCAAAAATTCAAACTGGATCTGTGTTCTGTGTTACAGTAAATACATTTTGATTTTGTGGAATGACTGCTGCATGGAATGCTGGGTAGAATGTTTAAACAAATATGAGAATTATTTCTCAAGGACCATAGATTACTTGTAATCTGTACACCATAATATATTACTTTCATTAGTTGGTATCAAAGAAAAAAAAGAAATCATGTTTTAAAAATTAAATTTAGAAACGAGAATGAGATACTAGAAGAGATTCTATTACCAGTTTGATTTACAGAAACTTCTTAATAAGACACGAAGTACAAAGAGTGAACTTACTTCTACACTAGCGTACTTGCACACGGAACATTTAAAGGGTTTCTCGTGAGTGTGTTTATAACGTCTGTGCCGGAGGAGTTCTCCACTGGTGACAAATGCCATGTCACAATCACCACACTTGTGGGGCCTGGTTCCTGTAAAATAACACAGTTTATTCTTTCAAACAAGATTTAACAACAATTTTTCTAGGCAATTATAACATATAAATGATACTCAGTCTCAAAATGCTTTAAAAAATTCAGAAGAGGCTTTTTAAACCAAATGCTCCAGAGAGATATGAGAAAAATCTTTGGACCATCCAAAGTTTTTAACCAAAGTGGAAGAAAAAAAGACAAAACTATAAAGTCTAAAATATGACACCATTTTAATATAGAACCTGGTGGATTTGCCTTCTTACACAAGCTTCAACACGCATCCTGCAAGGGAAAGGCCCCCCTCAGCTGTTTACCTGTATGGGTGTTGACATGGTTCCGAAGGAGCGTAGCTGTACGGAAAGCTTTCAGACAAAGGTGACACACGTGGGGCTTCTCAGTGCTGTGAGTTTTCATGTGACGATTGAAACTGGAAATTCTAGAAGAGGTGAACTTGCACAAGTTGCAGTGGAAGGTTTGTTTTACTTCTGCAGGAGGGAGAGACAACATTTATGTGTTTGTAAACATTTTTCTTTAGGTGTTCAGATTCCACTTAAATACATCAAAGTAACTTGGCACATCCTTTTTTTTTTAACCTAACGTGGTGACCCAACAAGACACTCCATGCAAATGGTAACCAAAAGAATAGTATAGCTGGGTGGCTATACTAATAGATGAAATAGACCCTGACAAAATCTGTTACCAGAGACAGATAAGAACTTAATGTAAGGCTTTCTGGGTGACTCAGCAGGAAAGAATTTACCTGCCAATGTAGGAGACATGGGGCTCGATCCCTGATCCAGGGAAGATCCCACCTGCTGCACAGCAACTAAGCCCATGTGCCACAACTACTAAAGCCCGCACGCCCTGGATCCTGTGCTCCACAACAAAAGAAGCCACTGCAATGAGATGCCTGCGCATCGAAACTAGACAGTAGTTTCTGATCTGCTGCAACTAGAGAAAAGCCCTTACTGCCAAAAATAAATAAGTAAGCATTTTTTAAAAAGAACATAATGTAAAAGAGTCAAATCATCCTGAAGATATAACAATTATAAACATACGTGCACCTAATAATAGGTCCCCAAAATACTTGAAGCTAAAACTGAAAGAATTGAAGGTAGGAAGAGAGCCTTCAATAGCAGCTGGAGACTTCAACAACCCACTTTCAACCATGAAGAGCACACCTAGACAAAATATCATCAAGGAAACAGAAGACTCAACATAAATCTATTTGACAGAATAGACTTTTATGAACACTCCATTCAACAAGAGCGAAATAAACATTCTTCACAGGTGTATATGGAACCTTCTCCAGTAAAGACAATAGGGTAAACCAGAAAACAAGTGTCAATTAATTTTAAAAGACATAAATAATCTGCCCTTTGACCATCACAGACTGAAGTCAGAAATCAATAAAAGAAAGAAATTTAGAAAATTCACAAATATATAGAAGTTAAACAATACACTCCTAAAGGACCAATGGGTCAAAGAAGAAATTGCAAAATACTTTGATGTGATGCTAACCACAAGTAAGAAGGGACAGTGGTGGCAGTGTGGTTTTCTAAACTGAATCACTTTTTAGCCCTGACCAACTGTTGCTAGAAGGAGGAAATAGCCAAGGGTGGCCAGATACAGCTTTTTATAAAAGAGCTTAAAGTTGAAATTTCAAGGGTGAAATCTCTTGATTTAGATAAGAGAGAAACTAAACTTTTTAAAAACCTGAACAAATAATTTTTGAGGGTCAGGTTTATCCTCTTTTCTAGCCTCACCTAAACATCCCTCCCCCCTTAGAAGATGATGTCTTGGCTGCCTTCTGGGCATCACTCTGTCCATCTGCCAGCACTAACACACTTGCTTTGGTCTCCATCAGACCTCTCAACCTCCAGGGCTGCAAACTAGGGAGCAGATGGGGCCCAAGCTTCTATCTGTTGCTGTTGTTTAGTCGCTAAGTCGTTTCCGACTCTTTGCAACCCCATGGACTGTACCTGCCAGGCTCCTATGTTCAGGGTATCTCCCAGGCGAGAATACTGGAGTGGGTTGCCATTTCCCCCTCCAGGGCATCTTCCCAACCCAGGGCTCAAACTCAAGTCTCCTGCACTAGCAGGTAGATCCTTTACCATTGAGCCACCTTGGAAATCCAAACTTCTACTTAAGTGCACCTAAGTAGAAGGGAGTTGCTGTAACCCAAAACTCTTTTGGATTTGACTCACAACACAGAGTTCAAAATTTCCTGCCATTCTGAAGACGACTAAAGCAACCACCACAAACTCAAATTGCCATCTCCCCCACTAAAGAGAATCAGTTGCCCTGTTGTTTGCAGAGCTTCTTGCACCAAATGAACTGGCCTACCCTTTGCCTTTTTTTGATTTTTCGTAGTGCTGGGTTTTTCAAGGTGTGCTTGATCCAGTTCAGGTTTCTCTTTTTGTTCTTCCATATTTAAGTTTGAAAATGTCAGAACGATTTCATCTCTTCCTTCATCTCCTGGCCTTGCTTCCACAAGAAAAAACTGCTCTTCTGTATTTTCACTGAATCCACCTTCAGCGAGCAGCTGCTCCTCTTCCTGACCTTTCTGGAACTAATGCAGAAAAACAAGTATTCAAACAAGTACAATACTGTTAATTACAGCCTGGTTTAACTCTGCCTTGATGAAACCATAAAATCCAAAGAGGAAAATACAAAAAAGTACAGAAAATTGTCTGTTGCAACCAAAATGCTTACACTGTAATTATTAAGCATCAAGGGTTTGAATGGAACATTAACACGGTTTAAAATCTCAACGGATCTTATCGTATTCTTAAACTCTAAAAAAACTGCACAAGTTCCTCCATGATTTTTCTGGAACATATTTTTATTGTGTTTGATTTTATCTTTTTTTTTAAGTTTTTTTTGGGGGGGATGTGGACCATTTTTTAGGTCTTTATTAAATTTGTTAACATATTGCTTCTGTTTTATGTTTTGGTTTCTTGGCCATAAGGCATATGGGATCTTAGCTTACAGGGATCAAACCTGCATCCCTGCACTGAAATGAGAAGTCTTAACCACTGACCACCTGTGAAGTCCCTGTGTTTAAAATACAAAATTTAAACTGCTTGTCCATATGTAATAGTGCACAAGTTAGTCGCTCAGTCATTTCTGACTCTGTGACTCCATGGACTATAGCCCGCCAGGCTCCTCTGTCCATGGGATTCTTCAGGCAAGAATACAGGAATGGGTGAAAGTGAAGTGAAGTTGCTCAGTCATGTCCAACTCTTTGCCACCCCATGAACTATAGCCCACCAGGCTCCTCAGTCCTTGAAATTTTCCAGGCAAGAGTATTGGAGTGGGTTGCCATTTCCTTCTCCAGGGAATCTTCCCAACCCAGGAATTGAACCTGGGTCTCCCTCACTGCAGGCAGACGCTTTACCGTCTAAGCCACCAGGGATGGGTACTCATGCCTTTCTGAGGGATCTTCCCAACCCAGGGAAGGAGAACTCTAAAAAATAGTTTTCTGGCTCCCCAGTCCTTTTCTTAAAACCAGGTGTACCTTTATGGATCCAGTGCTTTCTTCCAGGCTCACTGCAGTCTTACAGTCTTCACCGGCCCTGGTCACAGTCTCCTCCAGAAGCTGAAACTGCATCACCTCTATCTCCTGCAGCGAGTATACCTCCTCCTGGACATTGAGGACACATTGGTGCAGGCTCTGCTGGGCCACCTCCCCGAACCACACCAGCGACTGCACCCCACTATCAGCCTGGTGCACCATTACCTGCATCTCGCCCTCCTGCTGGGGATCCAGCCAGCTGAGGTCCTGCAGTTCAGCCTCTTCCGAGGGGAAGTGCACGGTCTGCAGGGTCAGGATGTGCGTCTCGCTCTCCTCCGGGGCAGTCAGCACCAGCTCTGGCACCTCCTCCAGGATCGTGGTCTGGAGGGACCCCTGAACACTCTCCACCTCCAAACCCGCAGAGTCAGACTGTTCCTTTACTTGGCACACCCCGTGATTTTCCTCGTCTTCCTCCTCCTCCAGGGCCCTGTCTGGTATCAACTCTGGTTCTTTGATTTGGGTGAACTGCTCAGGGGGGACAGAGAGCTCACCGTCTGCCATTATGACTCCGCCTCTGTCAGAGAAAGAAGCAAGCCTGTCTGGGTAGGCATAGTCAGGGGGGTTCAGCCTAGGAGGCTTTGGGGCTGATCAAGGCCCGATAAGGTTCCAGCCCCCAAAGACTTGGGGGCTCACATGGGTCAGGACTAAGTTAACTCAGCCTAGGCTGAGAAGGGGCTGAGGCTAAGCAGGCTTTAGGCTAAAGTAGGTGTTTGTCTAGAAGATTCTAGAACCAAAAGATTTGAGCCTGGGCAAGCTTTCAGCAAATGCATATTCCAGGTCTGGAAGGCTTGAGACTGGTCAGAATTTCAGCAAACGCACATTCCAGGTACAGAAGGGTGGCCTGAACCAGCTTCCTACCAGGGCACAATCACAGACTGAGCACCCTTTGAGTCATGGAGGCTTCAGGCCTGGGGCCTGTACCCACGCAGCCTTGGCCTTCAGGCCTCAGGCTCACCGCATGCCCCCTCCAGGCCTGGGGCATCTTTCCCTTCCTGGACCACCTCTCCCGGCTTGGCCCCTCCATGGAGGAGCCCCTCCCCCACCTCTCTGGTGCAGCTCCCCGGAACCTTTCCCGCCATCCCCCCCACTCCCAATCCCGCGCCCATACGGAGCAGCTCCTCCTCCAGAGGAGGCTGGAGTCTGGCTCCCCTGTGAGGATCCTCACCCAAGAAACGTGGCCTGGAGGCACAGCCCACCAAGCCCACTGGAATCCGCCTCGTGCTGCATGCTTGCAGGCCGCTGCCTGCTCAGATACAGCTTTTTATAAAAGAGCTTAAAGTTGAAATTTCAAGGGTGAAATCTCTTGATTTAGATAAGAGAGAAACTAAACTTTTAAAAAACTTGAACAAATAATTTTTGAGGGTCAGGTTCATCCTCTTTTCTAGCCTCACCTAAACATCCCCTCTCCTTAAAAGATGATGTCTTGGCTGCCTTCTGGGCATCACTCTGTCCATCTGCCAGTGCTGACACACTTGCTTTGGTCTCCATCAGACCTCTCAACCCCCAGGGCTGCAAACTAGGGAGCAGATGGGGCCCAAGCTTCTATCTGTTGCTGTTGTTTAGTCGCTCAGTTGTTTCCGACTCTTTGCAACCCCATGGACTGTACCTGCCAGGCTCCTATGTTCAGGGTATTTCCCAGGCAAGAATACTGGAGTGTGTTGCCATTTCCTCCTCCAAGGCATCTTCCCAACCCAGGGCTCAAACTCAAGTCTCCTGCACTAGCAGGTAGATTCTTTACCACTGAGCCACCTTGGAAATCCAAACTTCTATTTAAGTGCACCTAAGTAGAAGGGAGTCTCTGTACTATGCTTTTAAAACATTTGATCACAACACCCAAAACTCTTTTGCATTTGATTCACAATACAGAGTTCAAAATGTCCTGCCATTCTGAAGACGACTAAAGCAACCACTACAGACTCAAATTGCCATCTCCCCCACTAAAGAGAATCAGTTGCCCTGTTGTTTGCAGAGCTTCTTGCACCAAATGAACCGGCCTACCCGTTGCCTTTTTTTGATTTTTCGTAGTGCTGGGTTTTTCAAGGTGTGCTTGATCCAGTTCAGGTTTCTCTTTTTGTTCTTCCATATATAAGTTTGAAAATGTCAGAACAATTTCATCTCATCCTTCATTTCCTGGCCTTGCTTCCACAAGAAAAAACTGCTCTTCTGTATTTTCACTGAATCCACCTTCAGTGAGCAGCTGTTCCTTTTCCTGACCTTTCTGGAATTAATGCAGAAAAACAAGTATTCAAACAAGTACAATACTGTTAATTACAGCCTGGTTTAACTCTTTGCCTTGATGAAACCATAAAATCCAAAGAGGCAAACACAAAAAAGTACAGAAAATTGTCCGTTGCAACCAAAATGCTTAAACTGTAATTATTAAGCATCAAGGGTTTGAATGGAACATTAACACAGTTTAAAAACTCAACGGATCTTATCATATTCTTAAACTCTAAACGTATTCTTAAACTCTAAAAAAACTGCACAAGTTCCCCCTTGGTTTTACTGGAACATATTTTTATTGTGTTTGATTTTATCTTTTTTTAAGTTTTTTTTTTTTTTTTGGATGTGGACCATTTTTTAAGTCTTTATTAAATTTGTTAACATATTGCTTCTGTTTTATGTTTTGGTTTCTTGGCCATAAGGCATATGGGATCTTAGCTTACAAGGATCAAACCTGCACCCCCTGCACTGAAATGAGAAGTCTTAACCACTGACCACCTGAGAAGTACCTGTGTTTAAAACACAAAATTTAAACTGCTTGTCCATATGTAATAGTGCACAAGTTAGTCTCTCAGTCATTTCTGACTCTGTGACTCCATGGACTATAGCCCGCCAGGCTCCTCTGTCCATGGGATTCTTCAGGGAAGAATACAGGAATGGGTGAAAATGAAAAGAAGTTGCTCAGTCATGTCCGACTCTTTTCGACCCCATGAACTATAGCCCACCAGGCTCCTCAGTCCTTGAAATTTTCCAGGCAAGAGTACTGGAGTGGGTTGTCTTTTCCTTCTCCAGGGGATCTTCCCAACCCGGGAATTGAAACTGGGTCTCCCACACTGCAGGCAGACACTTTACCGGCTAAGCCACCAGGGATGGATGGGTAGCCATGCCTTTCTGAGGGATCTTCCCAACCCAGGGAAGGAGAACTCTAAAAAATAGTTTTCTGGCTCCCCAGTCCTTTTCTTAAAACCAGGTGTACCTTTATGGATCCAGTGCTTTCTTCCAGGCTCACTGCAGACTTACAGTCTTCATCGGCCCTGGTCACATTCTCCTCCAGAAGCTGAAACTGCATCACCTCCATCTCCTGCAGCGAGTATACCTCCTCCTGGACACTGAGGACACACTGGTGCAGGCTCTGCTGGGCCACCTCCCTGAGCCACACCAGAGACTGCACCCCACTATCAGCCTGTTGCACCATCACCTGCATCTCGTCCTCCTGCTGGGGATCCAGCCAGCTGAGGTCCTGCAGTTCAGCCTCTTCTGAGGGGAAGTGCACGGTCTGCAGGGTCAGGATGTGCTTCTCGTTCTCCTCCGGAGCAGTCAGCACCAGCTCTGGCACCTCCTCCAGGATCGAGGTCTGGAGGGGCCCCTGAACACTCTCCACCTCCAAACCCGCAGAGTCACACTGTTCCTTTACTCGGCACACCCCGTCATTTTCCTCTTGCTCCTCCTCCTCCAGGGCCCTGTCTGGTATCAACTCTGGTTCTTTGATTTGGGTGAACTGCTCAGGGGGGACAGAGAGCTCAGCCCCTGCCATTATGACTCCACCTCTGTCAGAGAAAAAAGCAAGCCTGTCTGGGTGGGCACAGTGGGGGGTTCAGCCTAGCAGGCTTTGGGGCTGATCAAGGCCCCATAAGGTTCCAGCCCCCAGAGACTTGGGGGCTCACATGGGTCAGGACTAAGTTAACTCAGCCTAGGCTGAGAAGGGGCTGAGACGAAGCAGGATTGAGGCTAAAGTAGGTGTTTGTCTAGAAGATTCTAGAACCCAAAGATTTGAGCCTGGGCAAGCTTTCAGCAAATGCATATTCCAGGCCTAGAAGGCTTGAGACTGGCCAGGCTTTCAGCAAACGCACATTCCAGGTACAGAAGGGTGGCCTGAACCAGCTTCCTACCAGGGCACAATCACAGACTGAGCATCCTTTGAGCCATGGAGGCTTCAGGCCTAGGGCCTGTACCCACGCAGCCTTGGCCTTCAGGCCTCAGGCTCACCGCATGCCCCCTCCAGGCCTGGGGCATCTTTCCCTTTCTGGATCACCTCTCCCGGCTTGGCGCCTCCATGGCTGGGCCCCTCCCCCACCTCTCTGGTGCAGCTCCCCGAAACCCTNGAGATGGAGGGGGGAGTGGAGGGTGACCTGCAGGGGACACTGAGAGACCATATTGGGGGATGGATGGGGGGTGGGGGGACCTGCAGCGGGTGCTGACAGACCAGAGGGAAGATGGATGTGGGAGTGGGGGGATCTGCAGGGGGCGCTGAGAGACCACGTGGGGAGATGGACGGGGGAGTGGGGGCGAACCTGCAGGGGGCGCTGAGAGACCACGTGGGGGGATGGATGGGGAATGGAGGAGGACCTGCAGGGGGCGCTGAGAGACCATGTGGGGAGATGGATAGGGTGGGGGGTGGAGGGGGACCTGCAGGGGGCGCTGAGACCATGTCGGGGGATGGATGGGGGGGTGGGGGGGAGGACCTGCAGCGGGTGCTGACAGACCAGAGGGAAGATGGATGGGGGAGTGGGGGGGATCTGCAGGGGGCGCTGAGAGACCACCAGGGGAGATGGACGGGGGAGTGGAGGGTGACCTGCAGGGGGTGCCGAGACCACATGGGGGGATGGATGGGGGAGTAGAGGGGGGCTGGGACCTGGGGGACGATAGATGAATGGGGCAGTGGGAGAAAGTCAAGAATGAACTGAAGGGAGCTTTGACAGATGGAGTGGGTTGAAGAAAGAGGAGCGAACTCTTAGGAGGATCTTGAGGCCTGGGCTGGGTTTGGCGGTGGGTGGTGGAGGAGAGCCAAGGGCGGGAGCAGCGGGAGGAAATATGGTGGGTGTGATGAAGAACGGGAGGGAGCTCAGGACATGATGGTGGGGAAGTGAGAAATGGAAGTCAATGGAGCAGAATACTGAGGAGGAGGGGCAGAAAGGGTGCACTGTGGGGGAGTTGGGAGGAGGAGAGTTTAAACTCAGAAGGAGCCATGGTGCACCAGCTATGTGTCCCTGAATTGTTCGCTTTAAAGGGGTTACTTTCTGTTGGAATTCCACCTCAGGAAGTTTTTTTTTTAATGGAGATGACTGATTTTTGATTTCTCCAGAAGGAATTCGGTTTCCACTAGATACAAATAAATACAAGTTTGGAGCCAATGGATGATTAAAATCATTTTTAGTTCACTCATTTTTTTTTTTTTTAAGGTGTGGTTTACACTGTTCCAGGAAAATTTCATTCCGTGTTGTTTTTACTTTACAAAATCTTAAAATTTAGTGAAATTGTCTTAGTTTCTGATTGTGAATAAATGTATGTAGACAGGGCTTCTCAGGGGGCTCTAGAGGCAAAGAACTTGCCTGCCAGTGTCGAAGAGATAAGAAACATGGGTTGGATCCCTGAGTGCGGAGGAGGGCCTTGCAACCCACTCCAGTATTCTTGCCTGGAAAATCCCATGAACAGAGGAGCCTAGTGGGGTACAGTCCATGGGATCACAAAAGAGTCAGACATGACCGAGTGACTTAGCACACTCCCACACTAGAAAACAAACAAAATGAGCACTGGAAAACAAAAACTAAAGAAAGAAGACAGCAATCTTGAGGATGGGGTTTTGGGGGGCCTCCCCTCCCTCAGGGGAGCAATGGCCTTTGAGCATATCTTCCAACAGACTGGTGGTGGGTTTTCCTCCCGTCCACAGCCAGAGAACTATGTCCATCAATGTGCCTTTTATGTGTCTGCCCATTCATTCTCCAAGCATCTTCTCATTTTATTTCACATTATTGTGTATAGTACATACTCATTTTGGGGGGTTGTTTTTTGATAGTACAAAGGATAAAACTAAATTTGTTTTTGAAAGAAACTCATTTGAAACTAATACAACATTGTAAATCAACTATACTCCAATAAAATTAAAAAAGAAAAAACCCTCACATAGCAGCTGTAATAGGTTTGTTGGTTAAAACCTTGGATGGCTAGTTTTAACACTGTGTCTGGCTTTCTATGACAATTTATATGCTTTATGAGGAGAAGATAAATATTTGAAGGTTACTG